GGGGGGGGGGGGGAATTACTTCGCGTGGAAAGTTTAACGTTTCTGAATGTACTGAGCTTGCAACTTCTATGTCGCTTTATGCACCCTATACACCCCTTTGCAGAAATGATACATTATTTTTAAAACTTTAATTTTTCATAACTTTTTAACGAAGAGCGAGCGACGCACAGTGGTCTAGATTTCGAAAAAAGTGGCCAAAAGTCCAAAAAATAAAATTCATTATTATGAGTTATTACGTATCATAGATATTCTTATAGAGAAGTCCCTACTACATGTTATCGCAAAGGATAAATGAAAATCTTTCTATATCTACGGTGCTATGTTAATTTGAAGTGATCGTTCTTAGAAAACGGTAATTCTCGCTTAACACGTCTAAAACTTCGTCTTTCTTCAAGTGTGCATATCTTTTGTTGAAGTTTCTTTTTTCAATTTTGTTTGATGAAGGGTTTTAACGAAGGTATGTAGAACATTTGCGTATGTCATAATTTCATGAATGCATATTCGGCGTGTATGAGAAATCATATAAAAAACGTGCTTGCACAATTGTTCCCTTTTATAAAAATTCTTACCATAAATCATCGAAAAAGTTATCAAGCCACGGGGAGCTGCAAAGTTATTACATGGAGCATATACGTTAAGGTGTTTTTTAATGGAATTTTGAATAAAATTTTGCCTGTCTCTGCCCCTGCATTGTGCGACCAATTTTAATTGAGACGCCCGCGCCATATTAGCTGCTTGGTTATGGTTGATACGTAGGGTATCTTATTTTACAGTTGAATAATGCTTATTCTGAGAAAAAATCTGTTCATATATAATACTATATTATGTCTATATTTGTCTTTATTTTTTTTATGTCTTTATTTTATTTATTTTTTTTATTTTTATTTATTTATTTTTTTTAATTTATGTCTATATTTATTTTATTATTCTTTATTTTTTTTCTTTTTTATTATATCCATATTTATTTACCAAATCACATATACTATTCTTAATTTCGCTATTGTAATCCTATAATCGTAATTAACAACTTTGAATACTCTTATACACCAACTTACATGAAATTTCAAACAATTGTTCGGTCATATTGTATTCTCTATTTTGAATATTGAAATTTTAATGCTACATTCGCAATCAACGACCTCAAATACACTTACATTTATCAATTTATATTAAAATTCCGAACAATTTTTAATAAAATGTTCGGCCATATTGGATCCGCCATTTTGAATTTTGAAATTTTCATATAAAATTCGTAATCAGCGACCTTGAAAACCCTTACATTGATACTTCCGCTAAATCTAAAACCTCCTTCTATTTTTGACACCTTTTTTGAGATGCAGACCACTGTGCGACGGCTAAAACTTGTTGGAGGTTACTCAGAGTTATGACCTTGACATATGTTGTCAAGGTCAAGGTCATTGGAGGTGACTCCCCTAAAGTGAACAATTACCGTAATACTTAGTAAGTCCGACTGAAATTTGATAAAATAAGGCTTCAATAAATTACGGCTGTTTTTGTTGTTTACAAGGCGATTCTTGAAAAGAGTCGTGAAGCGGCGAGCAAGATGGTGTTCCTGATAACTGACGGCTTCAGCAACGGCGGCGATCCGCGTCCCGCGGCCCACTTGCTGAAGAACACAGGTGCGACCGTGTTCACGTTTGGAATACGCACGGGAAACGTAGAGGAGCTGCACGACATCGCCAGTCATCCCGGATACACGCACAGCTACCTCCTCGATAGCTTCGCGGAGTTCGAGGCTCTAGCGCGACGCGCTCTGCATAACGGTGTGCTCTTCTTCCTATTAAAAAAAAACTATACATTCAGAGAAAAAGACATCGTGGTAGCAATTATAAAACTATAATACAAATTTTGCATATAGAATTAATGTTTATACAGTTGAATAAGTTATAACTTTTACATCTTACATATTATTGCATAATAAGATTATGCACTATAAGATTATATAGTTTATTCAATATATAATAACAACAATAATTTAGACGGCTGTTTAAGGAGGTTCTATCGTTAGGGCAAGGTGACTAGAAAAATATGAAAAAATATAAATATTGTTCTTTAAAAGCTAAAGCCCTAGATAAAGTTTTTAGGTAGGGTTGCCGACTTCAAACTCAGGAAAAACGTTTTTAAAAAGTCCGATTAATACACATGTCTTATGAGGGATATGAAAAATTCATTAGTTATAAAGATATATATCTTTTCAAAATGTGTCAAGAAGTAAATAACAAACTGATATATTAAAAGTGTAGGATCTCGTTTATCATTTAAAGCAAAAAAAATAATACGTTACCGAAGAAGTGAATGAGATATTTAATAAAGAAGTTGTAAAAAGTGTATAGGTTATAGGTTAAGTGTATTGGGCCTTCTACAATAAGCCATAAGTCACAAATCATAAGTCATAAACTAGAAATGGACCAATCACAGTTGTCAATTTTGAGTTTCTTACTTCCGGTTTATGTCTTATGGCTTATTGTAGAAGGCCCATAAAGGTTACCTCCTTCAGAGGTTACTACTCTCTTCAACCAAGCGTTGTATTTTTTACTTAATAAATAATATACATTGTGTACACTTTAAATTAATCAATTTAACAGTCATCTTAAATAAAATTATAATTTTAGAAATAAGATTTATGAGTGTTAAAAGCAGTTTTTTCCACACTTTTCCGTAGTCCTCATTTGACATCGGAATACCGATAGAGCCTCCTTAAGAGTCAGCGCAGTAAGACAAGCGCACACATTAAATTCTAAAGTATACTTTAGATACTATAGATTAGAAGTTACATATATATCATTGGTTTTGGCCATCCTCAGCAAAAGTGAACAATATAAAAAAAATCCTAACTTCGTTGGTTATTGTTCATCAGTTATGTAATCCATACGACAAGCACAATCATTCGCTTTTGAAGTTAATAAGCTTCTTAGTGATATGATTCTGATTTTTTTTTCAAAAATCCGTGGATTACAAAAATTAGATTAAAATTATTTCGCAACTTGATATATCATATAATTAAAATCGTTAGACATATACATCTTCAGAAATAACGTCATCTCTCAATCACATTCAAATTGACAATGATAGTTTATTCAATTAGGTATAAAATATTGATACAGTAGTCAACTTTTATAGTTGCTATTACCTACTGTTTTTCTCTAAGAATGTAGTATCAGGGAATGGAAGTAACTCCTTACTTGTAACGAAGTTACAGTTACAAATTACTTTTTTGGTAACTTTACTAGTAACTGCGTTACTTTCTTTTTTTTTGGTAACTGTAATGGGGAAACGTAGTTACATTTTTTGAATAACGGTAACGAAATTTACTTTTATCATTATTTTGCATACGACATATGTTATTCCGTTATATAACAATTACATGTTATTAATTACGACAGCTATATAAATATGGTTGTAGGACATTGAGTGTTTTTATTTCATACAGGCGTACAAAAGCTACATTCAGTTTAACTTTATCTAAACATCGCGTACATTTTATTCTAACTGACAAGTAACACTACCCAAGTGCCACTCCGGGATTGACTTCTACCTATGCAGATTTTGTCAAGAATCGAAAAATATTTGATACGTATTTTTTTATTTCGGCAGACATGATGTTTTAAGGGCTGAAAATGGGGGTTGAAATATTATATTTTTTAATAAACGGTTGTATTTGCGAATAATGCTCTTAGCTGTAATTTCATATATTTATGTATTTTGATGTGCTTATTACGAATATGATAAAAAAAATTGTCGCCAAAGTCATTTTCAAGGTCAAAACTAAAAAAAAAACCTAAAAAATCGCGTTTTTTTGTATCTTTTTAGTCATATATTCTTTTATTTCGAAAAATATAACTTTCTTTAATAAGTAAATACATATTTGATGGATTGCGAATTGGACTAATTTATAAAACATATCACACGCATTAGGTTATCTCGCTCTCTGCCGAACCCAGGAATAACCAACGTGGAGGTGGCGAGTGTATATACCCTTTTTTTTTGTTTGTTTTGCCCATTTTTAATTTTTTTTTATTTTCTTGTTTTATTTTTTTTTTATAGTTTAACTTCTTTTTCTCAATTTTTTCTGTTTTTTTTTTAAGATTTCTCTTTTCGATTTTATTATTGTTACCGTGTATTATAACTGGTGATTTGTGCAATAGTGAGGAGAACTTTCGTATTTAGGATCGAAAAAATGAGTGCTGCGATGAGATCGCCTTTTTCAAATGTGCCTGGTGTAAAAAGTTTATGTGTTTTACACATTTTTTCAATTTTGGAAAAGTAGCGATTTATTTCTCAACATAGTCTCCTTTTAGCTCGATGCACTTAACCCAGCGATGCTCCAACTTCTTTAACCCTTCTGAAAAATACGTTCTCTCGAGGTCTGCAAAGTAGGCCTCCGTGGCGGCGATGACCTCCTCATTTGACTCAAATTTCTGCCCGACGAGTGACTTTTTCAAGTTTGGAAATAAAAAGAAGTTGCACGGAGCCAAATCTGGAGAATACGGTGGATGGGGCAGCAGCTCGTAGCCCAATTCGACCAATTTGGCCGTGGCGACGGCGGAGGTGTGAGCCGAAGCGTTGTCATGGAAGAGCACTTTTTTCTTCGCCAAATGGGGCCTTTTTTTCTGCCTCGAATCGGCCCAATAATTCGGCATAGTAGAGCCCTGTGATCGTTTTGCCCTTCTCCAGGTAGTCGATGTAGATCACACCTTGTGAATCCCAGAAAACGGTGGCCATCACCTTTCCGGCCGATAGGACAGTCTTCGCCTTCTTCGGAGCACGTTCGCCGGGTGAAGTCCACTGTTTCGACTGTTCCTTGGTCTCTGGTGTAGTGACGGGAAAATTTGAAAAAATCGATTTTAAAAATCGATTCTCTTTTCTTTTAAGAATAGTTTTCAGAATCGATTTAGGGTAGATGCACCGGTTTTGGCCACTTTAAGGTTATACACGATAATTATTCCATATATTGTTATAATAAATGCAATAAAACAGTAAAGTTTTGTTATTAATTGATTTTTTATTACGTCTAGTGTTGAAATATAATTTTATTGAGATGAACAAATCGATAGAAAATTTTAATAGGCGTAATTATAAGTCAAACCAACACTTTTCACCAGTTTTGGCCACTATGTACCAGTTTTGAACACGATCTGTTCCATTTGTGGCCAATCTGGATAGTTTAACACGATAGTGGGAACAGGTGGAAGAAAAAGGAAAACATAACTGAAAATATGAAGTGTTTAACTGTTATAGTTTTATTTAATAAAATAAAAAACGTTTTATTATTTTTTGAACTCAGTAGAAAATACAAATATAACATTCGCATGTTATTTAACTACATCAGAACTTTTCAAGTAATAGAATATATTTTCTTTAACAATGTTTTAAAACTAATTTAACACTTATCATTGAGAATACTGAAAAGTATTATACATATATATATATACAGGGTTTGTCCGAAAAGTAATAGGACTGAGTGGATTAAAAAAAATTTATTGAGCCGATCGTTACAATTCTTAGCTGTTGATTTTTTTTCTTGTCTTTCTTTTCCTGTTTAATTCTTTGTGCGGTTAATTTTATTTCTTTAGCCGCTTCTTTTTTCTCTAATCTAATTCTCTTAGTTTCTTCTTTGGCTTTTAATTTCATCTCCTTCTCATTTTCTTTTTCATTCATAATTTCTAACCATTTATTTGATGTTAAGACTGATGGTAACCTCACTTTCTTTTTAAGTTTTTGTTTATCACATTTTGTCGGTTTTGGCCAGACTAAATAGTTTTCTACACTTCCTACGAGATGATTAGAGTTGAAAACTGTACTATTATTAATCTTAACATTGTTTTCAATCGGCTTGTCATTATAGTCAGAATCTTTTTTGTTAATATGAATCGAAACTTCTTCATCTGGTACTTTGTAACATTGACTATTTTGACTAGATATATCTTTCGTATGTTCTGGTGCAGATAAGCCCTCATTATTACATTCTAAAATCAATGGAATCTCCAGATTAAGTACTTCTTCTTGACTAGCATTACAAAGGTTGGCAATGTCTTGAACAGATACATCTCCGTTGATAAGATTTACAATTTCAGTGTTTTCTTCATCATTCTTTACGAGTTCTATCACAATAGTATTGTCAATCGAGTCGCATAAAAGTTCTTCAGAATCAGTGTAGCCTAAATAAATATAATTAAAAGTATAATGTAACATTTAAATTGGCAAACTTTAATTACAATTTCTAATTATTATTTTGTTGTTAATTTATTTTAAATTTAGTTATTATTAATTTGTAATATTTATTTTTGTTGTTATTTTAATGTAAATTCAATCCAAATTGAAATAAATTAGTTATCCCAGCTAGCAAGGTCACGTGATAATGACGTGAATTTTTGGTACAAATAACGTCAATTATGACATAAAAGTAACGTTATTCTGACGTATATATCACGTGATTATGTCACATCTTATTGACGTTATTTTATTACGTCAGGGAGACGTAAATATGACTAAAAAGTACTATTAGTGTCACTACTAGTGCAATAATGCAGTAGTAAATTCGTATATACTTCGTGTAGAAATTTAAGTAAAATACCGGTCAGTTTTCCCTAATTACTGAAAAAAAAATTTTCTCTAAATTCGAGAATTAATTTTTTTTCATGATGCATCCCAAACGGTCACCCATCCGAAGTTGTACCACGACCTCGCATGCTTAACCTTGACAATCGTACGGGAACTGCTGTACTTCGATGACCCACGAATCTGTATGTCAATGTCTGTATAA